AGGTAAATATTTTGACTATGAGACTATATACACTAAAATGAGAAATAATTTTATTCTCAACATAAGGATTTGGTTCAACAAATATAGCAACTTTCACACCATGGAAATGTTTAATTTGGAAAGGACATAAACAAAAATATGAAATGAGATCATCTCTGATAGTAGATTTTCTGAGCTGTATGCAGGTAAATTTAAATGTCGTCTTTCATAGTTACCAATATTTTTCAAAGTTTGCTACAGTAAAATATAGATTGCTTTGATAATAATGTGGTGGTTGTTCAGTCGCTAAGTCGTGTCTGACTCTTTGTGAACCCATGGACTGTAGCCCTCCAGGCTCCTCTGTCCACGGATTTCCCATGCAACATTGCTAAACTCTTACATGTCAAAAAGTAAAAGGAAAATTACAAATTCAAAACCATAATACATGTGACAAAAGCCTGACATTACCAATACATAGCTCCTACAAGTATGCAATAAAACAAGTAATCTAGCAAAAAGTTTGGCAAGATCCATAAGCTGAAATGTTCATATAAAGAAATACAAATGTTTGTTAGAAAACAGAAAAAAAAAAAGTCAACTTCCCTCAGCAAGTTAAGGCTGAGATATTATTTTGTCTTCTATTAAGAGACAAGAGCCTCATAAAATAATACCATACACATTTAACAAAGATTGTAACCAGCATCCTCAGCAGATCTAAGTATTCAACATTCCTTCTTGTTTGGTCCTTTGACAGTACATATAGATCAAAGAGCTGTAAAAATGATTTATGGAAATCATGGAAATTTTATGTCTCACTTCTGGGGATTTATACCAAGTAATTAGGTAAATATTTTGACTATTAGAATATGTACTCTAAAATAAGAAATAATCTTTATTCTCAACATAAGGATTTGGTTAAACAAAGTATAGCAACTTTCACACCATGGAGATGTTTAATTTGGAAAGGACATAAACCAAAATATGAAATGAGATCATCTCTGATAGTAGATTTTCTGAGCTGTATGCAGGTAAATTTAAATGTCTTCTTTCATAGTTACCAATATTTTCCAAAGTTTGCTACAATAAAATATAGATTGCTTTGATAATAATGTGGTGGTTGTTCAGTCGCTAGTCGTGTCTGACTCTTTGTGAACCCATGGACTGTACCTCCAGGCTCCTCTGTCCACGGATTTCCCCGGCAAGAACACTGCAGTGGGTTGCCATTTCATTTTCCAGGGGATCTTCCTGACTCAGGGATGGAACCCATATCTCTTGCACTGCAGGCGGATTTATTACAGCTGAGCTTCCAGGGAAGCCCAAGAAGTCTATAAAGTCACTTCCAAAGCAGCATGAAAGCAACTGCTGAGGGGTCTGAGTAGACTGGGAAGTGGGCCTCCCGGGGGTCTGAGGCCAGGACAGGCCCATCTGCATCTGAGTCCTGGGCACTCTCACTTGCTCTGCAACCTCGGCTGGGTTTCTGAAAGTGCTGAAGTCTGAGTTTCTTCAGCTGCCTCAGAACCTTGTTTCTGGAACTCAAAGGGCTCAGAGTGGGCACAGAGAAAGGCTGCTTCTCACCAACTCCTCCAACCTTGTACAGTGAGAAGTAGATTTTTAAAGTTGAGAGTAATAAGGTCTTTTTGAATCGGGGGGGATGCAGAAGTAGAAGCATGCCAGAGAGACTTAAAGAATCCAAACAGGACCAGAATCCAAAGGATGCTAAGCATGATCACCCTGTGCTCAGTATCACGAGTCATTCCCTGGGATTTGGGGGGTTGTTACCAACCCTCACTATGCGAGGAAACCCTCACTCTGCTAGCTAACGTCACAGATGTGATGAACGGACTCATTGGAAAAGACCCCGATGCTGGAAAAGATCGAAGGCAGGAGAAGGGGATGACAGGCAATGAGGTGGTTCAATGGCATCACCGACTCGATGGACATGAGTGTGAGTAAGTTCCAGGAGTTGGTGATGGACAGGGAGGCCTGGTGTCCATGGGGTCACAGAGAGTTGGACATGATTGAGTGACTGAACCAAACTGAGCTACCCTCATATAAGGGCCAATATATGTCTTATCTCGTGTAATTTCCCACACAGCTCTATGATGCAATAGGATTGTCATTTGTACACTAGAAGTAAAGAAACAGGTGATTAAAGAGAGTAGGTGTCCTGTCCAAAATCACACAAGTAGACAGGGTAGCGATAGGATGTGGCAGTTTGTGTAACTCAGAGCCGGCTTGTGTCCATCCGCCCAGCATCCCTGTTTCTAAATGCATTCGCCCCAACTCACACAATCACAGTTTACTTCATGCCTGGGGGCTAAAAATGACTGGCTTCTTACTTCAGCATTTGACAACATATTGCTGTCACTTTCAACTAGGTATCAGAAGGAAGAGAAAGATGGAAAACTAACTACATGGAACACGTGATATCAGGTCATTTTTCCCCTGGTTAATGTTGTCTTCTTCCAGTGGCGATTCCCCTGGTTCTGGATGCTCATCTTTGTCAGACAGTGCTTGGCTGGTGGTCAAGATGCAGGTGCAAGGCCCCAGGAGCTCCCTTGGGCATCACCCTCTCAGCTAGCTGTCTCCAGAACATCTCCAGATCTAAGTGAGATCATTAAAACACAGCCCTCCCACTATTTCCCTGAGGCACTTCTGCTTGCAATCCCTTCCTGCCCAAGGGGAGGGCCTTTCATATCTACCCACATCTTCCCTTCCCTCTCTCTCAGGAGAGTGGCTTCTGAATTGCTTTTCAGAGGATACATATTATCGAATTAACTTTCTTCATTCTAACTCCCTGATACAAAGAAATTCTTCCTACCACTAGGGGGGCCATGTATCTTTTAAAAAGATACATTTTTTTTAAAGAAAAAATGTTAACTTTTGAAGAAGTTCTTCCTACCAGTAGGGGCCCATGTATCTTTAAAAAGATACATTTCCCTACCTGCTCATTTCTTATTGCTGGTATAACAAACGAGCACAAGCTCATTTTCTCATCCGTAGGAAGAGGTGCAATATGGATCTCGCTGTGTGGACATCGAGGCGTCGGCGGGGCTGTGTTCCTTCTGGAGGATCGGGGTCTGTTCTTTCCAGGGGTCACCGCACTGCTCACTTGTGGGCCCAGCATCCCCTTCAGTCCCTCTGTGGCTCATGTCCGCACGCCTCCTTCACCAGCTGTGACCCTCCTGACTCCCGCTCTGACTTCTGAGGACCCTTGGGACTACATTGCACCCACACCAGTAACCCAGAAGGGCCTCCCCAGGTGTAGGTCCTTTCTGTAACCACACCCACACACGTCCCTTTTGCCCTGTGAGTTAACACAGTCTCAGGTTCTGGGGATTAGGACTCCGACATCTTTTGGGGGGAGGGGAGCTGTTGATCACACTACTCATTCTGCACAACTTGAAAGAAAATTACTTTAAACAATTGCAAAGTAACTTCACAACAGCTCAGAGTATAATCAACTACTAAAACATGATAGATAATAAAACAATTGGGTCATAATGCGGGTCAGAATAAACAGGCCTAGAAGAATGCTTTCCTAATTTTTCACCAGCAAGAAACAATGATCAGACTGTATTTGGGTGACACCTGTCAGGGCCGTGTCCTGAAGCGTGAGGTCGGGGAGGGTGTGTGGGGTCCGCACAGACAGGGCTGAGCCCCGAGGGTCCGGTGGACTGCAGGCCCGGAATCCAGCGGACAGCGAGGCCAGCTGAGGGTTCAGGCAGGAGGAGCCCCAGACACTAGGGCGGGAGCTGGGTGAGCAGGATGTGGCTGCGGGTGTGGGGGTCCTTGAGATGCTGAGGCTTCTCACCACCTATTTGTGCAAGTTCCCCACCATCTTTAACTCTTAGTTACAGCGTTGTGTCCTGATCTGTAGCGTCCATTCAACACAAAAGCACAAGGTTTTAACAGCAGCGTGGCAGGGACTGCAGAGGGCGGTCCGGGCCCCTGAGATCAAGAAGCACGTGAGAAACGGAGCACCTCCGCTGAGCCCGGAGCCCCGGGGGACTCCTCCCGGCCCGCCCCTCGGTGATCCCCAGCCCCGGAGCTTCCCGCTCGCGTCCTCTGCGGGGGAGGCCCGGGCGCCCGCACGTCTGAGCCCTGGGCCCCGCGACCGAGCTCGGGGACAGACCGCGCACCGGTTCTCCCGGTCCTCCGCCCTCACGTTCCCGCGGCGGCGGCCGAGGCCCCAGGACGGGCCCGGGGAGGCGAGCGGGCGGGGGACGCGCGGCCCCGTCGGTGTCCGCGTGCGGGTAGCGGGTGCAGTTTCTTCCCTCGGGGCCGAGCCCATTCGATCGGAAGTCCTTAGCCCGGCGGAGAAGCCGCTGTGCCGCCGGCGGGGCCCCGGGGTCCTCCTTCCCGGCCCGCGGTGGATTGGGACCGTCTCCGGGGACCGGAGGCCGCCCGGCTCTCTCCTCGCCTCCTCCCGGCTTCTCGCGGCGCACCCGGCTGCCGGGTTCCCGCGCCCGCCGCGGCGGCCAGGGACCCGGAGCTCCTGCGGGGACGGGNCCCCGGGCCCTCCGTGCGAGTCGTCTGTCCCTCAGCACCTGGCCTCGCCGGCTGCCCCGTCTGCAGCCCGAGGGCCGGGGTACACGGCGCGAGGCCGCTCTCACCGTCTGCCCGCGGAGCGCAGGGGCGGCCCCGAAACTATGACTGGGGGTCAACTGCAGGCGCGCCGTTTCTTTGATCCATGTCTCTGATGTGAAAGGGCCCAGATCTCCCACCCTGGGCCGAAGAAATGTTCTTTATAAATGTTTTGTAGAAGGAGTTCTTTCCCCTGCCTAAATAAGATGGTGGGTGATTTGAAACACCACCGTCACCCACACTGTTGGCTGTGAGCCTGAAGGGCAGGTCTCAGTCCCGACCCCTCTGGGTGCGCGGCGCTCAGAACACTGCCCGACACGGCTGGTCATCAGCCGTCAGCGAGTCAGCTCCAGGGCTGGGCTGGTTTCTAAGGGATCCAGTTACAATTATAATGAGTACAGCAGAAGGGCTTTTTTGGCCTCCATTCCTGACAGCGTGAACAGCTGCGGGTGAGCTGAGGTGGCGATTGCCTGTGCAGAGAAGAGGAAGATGGCAACTTTCATCAGACTAGAAATGATGCGGTTTCATGTTCACATACCGATCTCTGCAGACACATGGAGCCCACCAGCAAAACCTTCGGAAATAAAGGCTAAAATAACACTATGATTTTTTAATTATTGTTTTGGAATGCTATCCACAATAAATAAACTAGATTAAAACAAAATGATTTTATGCCACAGCTCAAGTTTTCAATTGCCTGGGAGCACTTTTCAAGTTTTATCTTTTTTTTTTTTAATTGGATTGTGTCTAATCTTTTCTTTATTCATTTTGAAGTTTTATCTTGAATTAATCTTGGAGGGCTCAGCAGGAACCCTTCTTAGACGTGCCTGCAATTACATGAGGGCTTGACTGAGTGTGCCACTGCTTGTCCAAAGCTCTGGTGGCAAATGAAAGATAAATGACATAGGAAGGACCCTTTACAACACTTGTTAAAATGTGGCAGGGACTTCCTTGGGAAGCTATACGTTCTTGGTCAGCGTGAGGAGTAGAAAGTGAGCCTGCAGAAGACGCAGATGGGCCACAGGAGAGGAGCCAGCCGAGCTCCTCGCCCTCTCAGCTCCTCTGATAAAGGCTCTGTCTGACCCCCAAGACCCTCAGACACACCTCCCGAGGGCCGTGGTCTGACCTGGGAGAGGAAGCGGTGGGCTCAGGAGAGACCCTGGGATGGGAGTGAGGACCCCGGGCTCGGGCTGGGCCACGCGCCGAGGGACAGCATCCCCGCGCTCCGCTGGGGTCAGCTTCCACGGGGGTAAGTTGGGTGGCCTGGCCGCTCTGGGGTGTTTCTTATGGTCCCTTGACGCTTCAACAGTCCTTGGGCCCCAGTAAAGCTGGCAGATGTCGGAAGGGTGTGATCTCGGGCGGGACTCCGCGGTAAAGAATCTGCCTGCCAACGCAGGAGACAGGTCCGACCCAGGAAGCCCCCACGCGCCGGAGCAGCTAAGGCCGCGCACCACGACTGTCGCGCCGGCAGAGCGCGGAGCCGCAACTCCTGCCGCCCGTGCCTCCCGGAGCCCGTCTCCGCAGCAGGAGAAGCCGCCGCGAAGAGAAGCCCGTGCCCCACCGCTGGAGAAAATCCCCCACGGTAGTGAAGGCTCGGCACAGCCAAAATAAATGAACAAACAAAATTATTTAAAGAGAAGAGGTGTGTGACCTCTGGGCCCTGAGCAGCCCCCTGGAGCCCGTGCGGAGGCTCTGGCCGAGGCCGTCTCCACAGACGAAGGTGCCGTGGCGGCTTGGGACGCAGCTGGCCCCTGACACCCCGAGAGGACTGCCCTCTTCCTGCCCACCTTCTCTGCCGGCAGGCTGGCAGGGGGGGCAAGTCGTGGAGCCTGTCCTCACTCCGAAGTCAGTGTGGCCTCTACACGGGGTCTATGTGAATCGGCACAGGGCATTTCCATCTGTCGGTCCCTTCTCTGTCCCTCCCTGACTTGGAAGCCCCTGGAAGGCAGGGTTGGTGAGCTCTGCACACGGTGATCCTGGGCTGCCAAAGCCCCAGCGGTACAGACCCTGAAGAGTGACCGGGAGAGGGAGCCCGGGTGGATGCACCGGAGGGCGAGGGGCTCTGCTGGGAGATGGGGAGACGGGAAGGGGGGCTTCCTAGAGTGAAAGCTGCTCCCCCACAGCATGGACGGAGCCTTAGATGAGACGCAGATGGCCCTGCAGGCCTGACGGGGGAGCCGCAGGCCTCAGTCTCTGAGCACGTGAGCAGTGAACACCTCTGGGCCTGAGCGAGTCATGGAGACCGGATTCCAGCCCTCAGGAAGCCCTGGGCCTAAGAGGGACATCAGGCAAGACATAAGTGCCCAAGCTTGTGGCAGGTGCTCACTGAGAAAAGCCACACAGGACCAGAAGAAAGACAAGGAGTGACGGCACAGCCTGAGGGAGTCAGAGGAAATCAGCAGAACGGTGGTTTTCAAGCCAAGGCCTCGGGGAAATGCAGTTCAGCAGCCAGGAACCCAGAGCCAGGGGCCAGCGGTAGGTGCAACAGAAGAGAAAGACCCCCTAAAAAGGCAGATGTGAAGGCAGAGAGTTCATCTAAACTCCTGGATGATGTCAAAGGNCCTTGGTATCTCTCATTTTCTTGAAGAGATCTCTAGTCTTTCCCATTCTATTGCACCAAGGGCAACTCATAGTTAAATATTTCTAAACACATTCATCATATCTTTTAAAATCTTTTGGATAGCTTTAATCTTGGACATTTTCCAGCTTTATTCCTGGGAATCAGTGTGACTTTTCCTTTCAGAGAGCATTGTTTGATACGCGTGGCCTTTTCATACAAATCTTTTCCCCAGGGTTAATTAGAATCAGATAGTGAGTCACCTTTTTCATCAGATGAAACGTGGATAAGAAAGAAATTTGTTTTAAAGTTAATATTTGTACACAGAGTGTAGAGTCCTAGTCACCAAGCTTCTCACTTCTTTCCAACTCAACATGCAATAGACTCTTGTTCTAGCCACCCAGCTCCCAGGGACGGCCATGCCTCTGAGTTCTGGCCAAGCTACATTGAGTAGAAGTTCCTTTGGCTCTGAACAGACCTGGCCTCTGAACGTGTCCCACAAGGCATCCTTTTCCCTCTCTAGCTGAGCAGAATAGACCCAGTGCCAGGGCCAGATTTGAAACCACAGGTTGTTGATGACAAACCTATAACTCAAAGGTACCATGGCCCTTGAATCCTTTTGTTGAAAGAAAATCAACAAGCAAAGTCACTTGATATTTCAAAGCCTCTGTTCAAGTAAAGGTAAGATTTTATGATGTTCATGCAGCTGATATTTTCTTGTTTATATGCTACAGTGAGTAACTTTAACTTACAGAATTATGGAATAAAAAGTAAACTAAAAATTCTTTCAAATTCTGAAATAGAAAATATTTTTTGAATATTTGAAAAGATAAAAAATACATTTGTTTCTTTAAAAAACATTCAGTATGCTCTCTCAAGCATTGCTTTGGAATTTCAAGATGTACATTTGTGCCCACATGCTAAGTCACTTCAGTCATGTCTGATTATGTGTGACCCTATGGACTATAGCCCGCCAAGTTCCTCTGTCCATGGGATTCTCCAGGCAAGAATATTGGAGTGGGTTACTGTGCCCTCCCCCAGGGGATCTTCCTGACCTAGGAATCAAACCCATATATCTTACAACTCCTACATTGGCAGGTGGTTTTTTTTTTTTTTTTTTTTACCGCCACTAGAGTCACCAAGATGTACATACACCAAGATGTATATACATCAAATATAATCCCATAATTTTGCTTCCAGACATTTTTACAGTCAGTACAAAAATACAAAAGTGGCCACCACTCCTGCTTTGGATAATTGAAGTTGACATATGGTGGACGTGGGTGGAGAGGCAGGAGGTGTGGCTCATCTTTGTTTCTGGGAACACTCTTAGTTCTGGCTTTTGACAACAGGATCTTTATAAGCAGCAGCTTTTGAAACATCCTGGAAGGTTGACCATATGACTGGGTACGTGGGAGCATTTGTTTCTTTTGTTTGGTTGCTAAGTCATGTTAAAATCTCTGCGACCCTGTGGACTGTAGCCTGCTAGGCTCCTCNCAGTCACCAAGCTGTACATACACCAGATGTGTATACATTAAATATAATCCCGTAATTTTGCTTTCAGACATTTTATAGTTAGTATAAAATTACAAAAGTGGCCACCACTCCTGCTTTGGATAATTGAGGTTGACATGTGGTGGATATGGGTGGAGAGGCAGGAGGTGTGGATCATCTTTGTTTCGGGGAACACTGTTAGTTCTGGCTTTTGACAGCAGCTTCAATATACAGAATTTTCTCAATCCACCTGGAGCCAAGGAACTTCTCAGCCCAATCTGAGAAGCCCAATGTGAAGCCTTAATCCATAATCTGTAGCAACCAACCCAGAAAGCCCGGTCACAACCCCTGCAGGGTTAAACCTCAATAGTCAGACTTTAATCACTGACTGACAGCTTCCTTATTTTTAATCATCCTTCCTATTTAGAACCAAAAGGGGGAAACTAAATATGTCCCTCAAACACACATAGAGGAGGCCCATCTTCTATCCAGTCCTCCCTCATCTTTCCTGCATCACAATCTCTGATCACAATGTGCTGCCTTTTTTTCTGCCAGAAAGCTTTCCCATGCCTATGCCTAACTCTGGGAGATAGCAAAGGATAGAAAGGCCTGGTGTCCTGCAGTCCATGAGATCGCAAAGAGTTGGACCCAACTTACTGACTGAACAACAGCAACCACAATGCCCGAGTCTCTGCTGAACGGAAGGGTTGGTAACTGACTCCTTCACATTATGGAGCAAGAGTGCAATAAACAGTGCTCATTCTCTTTAGGGTGATTTTTGTTTGCCTACAGATGTTAGAAGAGTGAGAACCAAATAAATGAACAATATGTGCTGCTTCTGTTAAATCTGGAAAAAAAAAATCCTTTATCTATCACAATTTTTAAGTTGAAATCAAATTCACATAAAATTTATTCTATAAAATGTACAACTGAATGATCTGTTTACAAACTTGTGCAACTATCACCACTGCCTAAATCAGGGCATTTCATCTCCTCACAAAGAAAGCCACTATTCATTCAACAGTCACTTTCCCTTCCACCTTCCCCCAACTTCTGACAATCTGTGTGCCTTTTGTCCCTAATGATTTGCCTGTTCTGCATATTTAAAGTGCATGGATTTGTACAACAGTGGCCATGTATGCTGATTTCTTACACTTGGTGTTATGTCTTTGAGACTAGTCTATGGTTTAGCACATGATTCACTCCTCTGTTTGGCTTGAGAATATTCCTTTCTAGGCCATTATAATACACACACACACACACACACACACAACCAAGTTCTTTTCTTTTTAACTGTGAAAAACTCACAGAATATAAACTTACCATTATGGCAATGTTACTCGTTCAGCCCACGTCACTAAGAACTGTCTCTGTGCAGGGCCCTCTTTGCCGCACCGGCCCTGAGCCACCAGCGGGCACGGCACACCAGCCCAGCCATGACAGCCCGTCTCGGGACCCTCCGTCCCACCCACCCGACCAGGACTCCACGCAGGCCTCCCCACGGCGGCCTAAGAAGAGAACTCCATGGGGGTGGGCAGTGGTGGCGAAGGAGAGAGAGACCCAGGAGACAGGACAGGAGAGGCGGGCGGAAGAGCCTCTGCGCTGAGCTCCCAAGGCTCAGGGGCGTGCTCCCCAGACCAGCCCTGCTTAACTGCTGGGTCAGAACCGGTCAGACGGGTGGGGGAGGTGTGACCATGGACGCCAGCAGCTTCAGCCAGACTCCCCGACAGTCTACACTGCAAACCTGCCAGGCCAGCTTCAGTCCCGGGGCCAGGTGCAGAGCCCCAGAGCCCCAGCCTCATGTGGGGGGCTATGCCAGCCACACCCTCCAGAGCGCCACATTCCCAGCTCTCAGGAGAGTCCTCTGAGCTCCCAGGAGATGGTGTCCACTCAGCATGTATGACAAGTGGCATTAGGCTGGGACCAGTTGGAAGTGGCCACAGTGAGACCAAGTTTCTCTGTATCTCTTCTGCTCCTGAAGCGCCCACTCTCTCTGACTCGCTCATGCCTTGCTTTGTCCAGGCGTCCCCCCAAAGACAGCCAGGCTGCAGGGAGGGGTTTCAGGGCAGAGCAAGAGCTACGGTGTCTCATGGTGAGCAGGGCTGGCCACAACTCACCCTTGACTCGGAGAGCATCACTGTGGGTCAGACACTGACCCTCTGAAGGCACAGGCGACTGCTCCTGGACCACACAGGGGCCTGAGAACTTAGGTTTGTCCTGTGACCTCTACAGCTGTCTCTAAAGCATGGACCATCTAGCGAGGAGACAAACTGACCCCTGGTAATCACAGTCAGATTGGTTAAGGACAAAGGGGGTGGGGTGGGGTGATGGGAACGGGGGTGGGAGCTGCCTGCTTCCATTGGTTTCCCACCCCCCACTCCCCTGACCTTCTCCTCCTCAATATCCTACCCTGTATTGGGCTTTCTTGGCCCAGACACAACAGAAGTGATCATTCAGTACTCAATATTCAGTGGAATAGTCATGAAGTGACATCAAGTGTAAAAAGAAATAAAACTGAAAATAAAATCCATCCAGACAGGTAATATTGTAGATGAGGTTAGTGTCAGAGAAGATCCTTGGGCTCTGGGTCAATGTCCCCCTGAAACTCTGGCCCTGGAAAGAGGGAGAAGATGACACCTTTCGTGAATGTGACCTAAGCCTGGTTTGTGTTTAACCAGCTCATTGATTTGATCATTTGTCATCATCACATTTTCTGAGCCCCATTCTGCATCGTCGAAGTCCTCACAGGGCTCACAAGCTGGAGAGCTCATTAAAGTGTGGTTAAAGACTTGAGGGGCCCTGGGTGAGGCAGAAAATGGTGCGGGCAGAGCAGGGGATGGAAAAAGGCATGGTGGGCCAGGTCAGGTCTGAGCTGGGTCTCCAAGGGTGAGTCATCAGTTAGCTAAGGCCTGGCTCTGAGCAGGACTCAAATACACAATGAATGACTAAATGAATGAAAGTGGAAATCTTCCCGAGTGAGCAAGAGCTCTCTGTAACTGAGTCCAGCTCTTCTGTAACTGAGTCCAAGCTTGTACTGCTCACCTCATGACAGGCCAATTAACTGAGAGATGAGTTGCTGGGGCAAGGAACAGCAGCTTTATTCAGAAACCCAGGGCTCCTGCCCCAAGGACCCATCTTACCTGAGTTAGAATTCAGGCTTCTTTCACATTTATACTAAAAGGCACTGCGGGGGGGAGGGGGAGAAGGTCAAATATTTCTTCATTCCAATCAGCCTCCAGAGGGGATGTGTTCATTTCTGCCTCCCTGCTGTGACTCACAGGAGAGTCTGCTCAGGAGGTTTCTTGTGAACTGAACAAAGTTATTTTAGCTTGGTGCTCATTACCTGGGATGCAGGGTTCCCAGAGATGGAACTTTATGTATAAGCTTATAGGCAACATTCCTTTAGTTGTTACCTCATAATAGGTAGACTATGAAGGGTCCTTGTCTGTGACGCATTCAGGCCAAAGCTCGGACCTGCGGGGCACACGGGGGCAGTGGGGAGAGGCCCCGCGGTGTGCCCACTCCACCCTCACAGTCTTGCTGACTAAGCAGCCTGTGTCTTGACTCCCCGGGGGCACCTGTCTGCGCTCTTCTCTCGGACAGGGCTCGTCAGAAGCGACAGTCAGCCGTGCTCCTCCCTGATCAGGCCCGAGGACACCAGCTGCCTCACTGAAGGGGTCAGTCTCTCAGTGATGTTTGAAGCTCTGTGACCCCATGGACCCCACCAGGCTCCTCTGTCCATGGGATTCTCCAGGCAAGGATACTGGAGTGGGTTGTCATTTCCTTCTCCAGGGGATCCTCTCGACTCAGAGATCAAACCCAGGTCTCCTACATTACAGGCATATTCTTTACCATGAGCTACCAGAGACATGCATAAGAAACTGCCACCTCCCAAAACGGGTCAGAAGTCTCTGTGTGTGCTTCAGGCTCTACGAGGCATTTCACATCCTCCTAGTATCTCCTCTCATCTCCCTGAGAAACTCTCATGTCTCAGGACACCTCTAACCAGTACTCTGCTTTTGGTGGGATCTAGTGCTCAGAGGTTAATATTTTCAGCCCAGAGAGACACAGCCTGTGCTTTAGACATGAGAAACCCTCCCATCTAGCCCCAGTCCATCCAAATCTCTCCCGTTCCCCATATCCCACAGCCGGCAGACAGTCCCTGAGTCTGTTCAGCAGACAAGCTCCCACAGTGTCCGACGCTGAGGCTCCTCCCGCCCCCGTGTCCCCTCGGCCCTGCAGGATGAGCCCCAGTCCTGGGAATGGAGGGGCCCCTCTGCGCTTCTTCTGGGGCCGCTGTTGGGCCTTCTTCCTCTTCAACAGAGCAGGGAGCTGGGCTCGTCCACGCCCGGGAGTGGGGGGGTAGGAGCGGATGAGTGGTCAGTCCCTCTGTCTCCCGCGGCCCTGGGGGAGGAGGTGCTGGGGGCGGAGGGCGGACGGGGCTTGGCCTGCTCAGCGGTCAGGACTCAGGGCGCATTCGGGGCAGGCTGAACCTACTGGGGAATGTTGATGGTGACAAGCTCTTTCCATCTCTGTAGGAGCTGGTCCAGCTCACCAAGCTCTCTCAAAACTAGCACCCGTATATAAACAGCCTTCATCTGGCAGCAGGGGGTGGGCTGAGTGTTTTCCAGGGAACTCCTCTCTAAACTCAGGGAAACATTCTGACAGGGTCTCTGATGATGCAGCAGATGGCCGCTTTGGTTAAGAATCAACAAGGACTCACTGTTTGGCACGTGGATCTCCACGCTATGTAGCAGCCTCGATGGGAGGGGAGTTTGGGGGAGAAAGGACACATGCATGTGAATGGCTGAATTGTTCCCTTTGGTGTTCACTTGAAACTATCACAGCACTGTTTGTGAAAGGGCTATACCTCAAATACAAACAAAAGTTAAAAAGAAAACAACACGTGACCAAACACTCAGGAAAAGAATACACTGGATGATTTGGACATTGGCTGCAAAAGTACATTTTGGTAACACAAAAAAGTACAGTGTTTTACAAACTTAGTTTATGATTTAGAGTCTATGATATTTAGATGAGTGATCAATTGTTTAATACAGGCACTGATAAAAATACAAGCTAAAGGCTAACCGGTTTTAATATCATNATTGGCTTCAAAAGTACATTTTGGTAACACAGAAAACCACAGTGTTTTAAAATCCTAGTTTATGATTTAGAATCTATGATATTTAGATGACTGATGAATTGTTTAATACAGGCACCGATAAAAATACAAGCTAAAGACTAACCAGTTTTAATATCATTTTCTGTTTTCTTTTTTTTAAAATTTATTTATTTATTTTTTGCATTTACTTTTATTAGTTGGAGGCTAATTACTTTACATAACTGCAGTGGTTTTTGTCATACATTGAAACGAATTAGCCATGGATTTACATGTATTCCCCATCCTGGTCCCCCTTCCCACCTCCTTTTCCACCCGTCATTTTCTGTTTTCATAAATTTTTCACTATAGACTAAAGCCAGGGCACATGATATCTGTTTATGTGTCTCCCTCCCTCCATCTCCCTCTCGCTGTGGTTTTAAGATTTATTTCACCAGTGAGTTTGCTCCAGCTCTCCTGCAACACACAGCTTCATTCTGAAGGAGAAGTGGTAATACTCGCTTACACTGGGGTAAGTGAGAAGGTGACGCGCGGTAACGGAAGGAAGGAGACTGGCGGGAGGCCCGGCCTGGCCTCAGCCTGGGGGCTTTGCCCGGACACTCACCCCCTGGTTCACTGCTGACCCATAACAGGGGCCTGGAAAAGCCTGTGAGGACCCCTGGCTAAGAACCTTCATGCACGTCTCGCCATTTACATCGTGAGCACGGAGTTCTCAAAGATCTTCAGATTTCTGATTTTTTTCTGATTCCTTTAGTCTTCATTAGTCTTCTCACCAGGGGTGTCATTAACTAAATCAGCCTATATATTATTAATATTAACATATATTATTGGTTTATAGATATTATTATAATAAAATAATAATAGTACATCACAGTTAATATTTGCTCACATTATATATACATGTTTATATAGCATTATGTTAAAATTAATTAAATTAATAAATATAAATAAACTAGCATAACAATACGAGTATATATTACTCCTCAGAGGCAGGCCTTTGCCTTATGTATGGTCAGCTCTTCCTACTGACCATATTTTGTTTGCCAGAAAACAACGAAGACTGAGGCCAGAGTGAAAGTGAGGGGAAGGCAGGCAGAAAAGACCCGACCTGAAATTACAGGGGAGACACAACTGATCACTCAAGTGAGAGAAGCGTGTTCCCGAGACCGACCTGAGCCGCACAGTCTCAGTGAGGGGAGCGGATGTGACCCCTCACCCGGCCCGTCGGCACCTTCTGGGGAGGGTGAGAGGAGGAAGCCTCCTCCAGGTGTCTCTCCTGCGGCCCCTCCCGTGGACCCTCGCATCCCCCCAGTCTCTGCTGCAAGCTTTGTCCTTTGTTGCCAGCAGGCCCGCTCACTGCCCTCCACTGTCCTCCTCCTACCGGCTCTCTTTCCTTCCCTTCCTGATTCTCTGGGCTGCTGCTGGCCAGGCTGGAGACTCAGGCATCACAAGACCTCCCTCCAGCCAGTGAGCTGCCCTTGCCCCGCCCTCCTCCTTGAGAGCTGGGTTAATGGGGTGCCTGGTGTTTATTACTGAGGCTTTCCTTGCTCTCAGATTCCTCCCTTCCAGATGGTGAGATGCGCAGGGCAACTAAAGACATGTCTGCATTTCCCTGAATGTGGATGCTAGATGAACCTAGTTCGCTTAGAGTAGAATCATATTGTTCTGAACATACATTTTTATATTTCCCCAAACAGGAAATGGTGACACCTGAAAGTCATACTGTTACATGATGAAAGCAAGTTATAAAACAACACACACTATTTGTCTAATTGAACTAAAAAATGATACTATATTATTTGTGTAATACATATATATATTTGAAAATTTTTTTTAAAAAGCTGGAGGAATATATACAAATGAAACACAGGTACCTTGATAGGGATGAAAGAGAAATTTTACTTTTACTCTAAATTATCCAGTGTTTTTGTGTGTACTTTTAATTCAGGATGAACTTGAACAAGAGAACTGCTTATCATAAAAACCGAACCAATGTATCTCAGAGTCAAACAAATGATAAGCTATGTGGAAGAGACTGAGTATTTGCTGAAGGGTTAAAGACAGAATGAGCACACGAGCAGCACAATCAATGAAATGCAGGCTGCACACTGCTGTCTCCTCATGTCACTAGAACATTCCTTGAACACTTGCTGGGTTTAAGTCAGCCTGGAAATCAGTAACCTGTCCAAGGCAAGTCAGAATTTATGCCAGGCCCATAGTAAAGACATGTCTTAACTAATTTGGCTGCCAATATCTCTGAGGGGAAGAATATGTACACTTTATTCTCAAAACTTATTTTGGCCTGTCCTACAATGGATTATTTCATTAAAAACAAAACACTCAAACCAGCATTGAAAACCACCGTTTTGGTGTACCTTAAAGCTTTTGCTATTTTAGAGCGTTCTCTTTTTCTGTCATCTCTTAAACACATGCAAAATAAATACAGTGGAGTCCCCAGCAGGAGCTGCTACTCAAGGAGCTCTGGGCCTCAGTCCTTACTAGGAGTTAAAGTGGCAAAGAGCATTTTTGCTCCAGAATTCTAAAGGCATTTTGGTGTTGGATAATCTGGACCTGTGGAAATCATATGATAGCCTGATACTGTTTCTTACAACTGCCGCAGTTCAATGATTTTCAACATCTTACTTTCTGTAAGCAAATATTGAGAATGCTCAGGAGAGAGCATAAGTATAATGACATATCTTGTTATAAATAGCATATAAGTAGAAAGTGTAGTTCAATGTGAGTCTAACTTACCTTAATATCCTAGCTCCTGTGACTCAGTCCACAAGACTCAGACTACATTCTTCGGGCATTTCTACGGAGCGGACAGCAGGGGCCACTTTCAGCCTGGTTGAAGAACATTCACCGGCTTCGGCTTGTTTGCTTGCTTACTAACTGTTTTACCACCACTGCAAAGGAAACAAAGTAATTCTGTTCCTAAGTGTATGAAGCCCAGATCAGTGTCTTGGGAGCAGTGTCAGAACACAAAACATTTAACTGAATCTGTAGGAAGCATTCACAGATAACCCCAGAAAAGACTTTACCTTTCTGTAGATCCAACCTGCAAGAAGAAAGTGAAAATCACTCAGTCATGTCCGACTCTTTGTGACCCACTGCACTGTAATCCTGCCAGGCTCCTCTGCCCATGGGATTCTCCAGGCAAGAATGCTGGAGTGAGTTGCCATTCCCTTCTCTAGGTGTGGGGAGATGCCCGGGTGTGCCCAAACTGTGAGAAGGTCACGGGATGAGACAGGAACCTGCAAGGCAGCTCTTTCTCACACGGGGCTGCCCCGGGGGCCCAATATGTCCCCTCAGGAGCCGCCAGGATGAGAAATGAATCTGCAAGCAGCTTCTCCTCGAGGTTGTCCCGGGGCCCGGTATGTCCCTTTCTTCCTTCTTTCTTACTGTTGTTGAGCTTTCTATTAAAATTTTGAAATATAATATATAGTAATAAGGCCTCCCTGGAAAAGTCCAAGCCTTTTTTGTAAATGTTCATGATTGCTCTGGCTCAGGACATGACCATAAACATCAAGTCAGCAAAGAAAAGGTCACAGGTATAGTTTGGCTGCTTGCTGAAAAGATTATAATGTTCTAGAATAGAAAAGAGTAGAGGCATTGAGATTTAGAAGTACATGTACTGCATCAGTTTACTTGCTCCTTGGTTGAGAGGGTTTTCATTATTGTTATTTCCTTGCTGCTATTTGTTCATTGTTTCCCTTTCTTTAAACAACATGATATTATGGGTATTTTTGTAGAGTTAGGAAATGGGGTACATAGATTTCAACAGAAGCTTTATATTAACCAGCTTCACTGCCATTATCTCACTATTAATAGAGGTGTTTTGCTGCTTTAGAGGTGTTTTTGCTGTTTAATAGTTAATCATTGTAAACTGACATTTTGTGGTTTGGGGTTAAGAAAAATATCAGGTTTTTCTCATGGTACTATTCTCAGAAATGTCAAACATGTTACTGTGACCCTTCCCATGTATTGTTTTATTGTCCAAAGAATTTACACTGCACCTGAGATGTGTAGGACATTGTGTTTATTAGAGTGAAAATGTTAGGCCATTGAGGCAAGAAGACTATGTGCGGGACATTTAAAAATAAACCCTGTAACCAGAAATGTTCTAGATGAATGCATAGGGGAAAAGCAAGGGAAAGAAGAATATTGACAGATGCACGAAATGATATCGGATGTAATATGTGGTGACTTAAGGGGGAGGTAACGTTCATTCTATACAAACTGAGCTCTCCTAAAAACAAAAAAAAGCTACCTCTTCTACTCAACCTTCTGTGTGTGTCTGTCTTCTTCCTCGCTGATGCCACTCATCCCTTGGGTATTCTTGATCCTGCCGGGGCTGGACCTTGGCATCTAGGGAATCTTCCCAACCCAAATTATCCAGTAACAAAATGCTTTTGGTGTTTGTGTCACAAATGCTCTTTGCTACCTTAATTTCTGATAATGACAGAATCTCACGTCGACCTAGGCCCTGTCCTAAACCAGTTTGTGTCCTGTAACCCTGGTCAGACCCCTAGACTTTATAAAGTTTGGTTTTTCTTGTTTGGAAACAATTTGACCCAGCTGCTCACAAGTGAAAAGCAAACTACTAGACCTTAAAATGTTCCAGTAGAGTACAATCAAATGCTGTTGATTCTAGGCACTTCATAGGATGTTTTAAGCCTTGTCAGCCACCAGATTCTCTTGATTCTGAAAGCTGGGTTTACTAGGGCCTGGTGACAATGGAAGTGTGATGAAATCACTGCAGCAGTGTTCTGCTCCAATGCACAGGATCTGGATAGACTAGGAACAATGATGAAATATTCTGAAGGGGTGAATCCAGGGCATTTAATCTTATCTGAACAAAAGCTTGTGCACCGACGCATTTTATGCATCACTTCAGGGCGGGCACAGGCTCCCTGGGCTCTCCAAATCTCTCAGGTTAAGAGCTCCTGGCCCAGGAGTGAAAGAAAACAAAGGCAGCCCTTCCATCGTGCCCATTCCGACCTCTGGTCCCATCACAGCCACACCGTGAGAGGGACGGTGGACGCTCAGCACGCTGTCCCAGCCGCACGGCTGCCAGACGAGTTACAGGCGCAGCCCTGCCCAGCGGACAGCTGCTTCCTGCCTGCTGCCGGGCGTTGTGAGAAGGCCGCAAGGAGATCTAGGAAAAGCAAAGGGGAGTCCAACTCAGACGAGCGGCCCGGAAGCACGAGGGAGCTAAAGAGACAGGAAGCACGAGTCAGGTCAAGGAACGACCCATTTCCGGCTGTGCTGATAACGGACGTGGCTGAAGCGTCCTGCTCCCTGCGCGCGCGCCTCTGCGTCTGCAGGCACTTCCGGTTGCCTCACCGTGAGAGGCGACTGCTTGTCAGAAGGCAGATCTTTTCTGTCATCAATAAACTGTCTTTTCCTTGCTGTCAGCCCTGTAATCTGGCACTATATGCTCCTTGTTCTATTGGCTGCTAACATTTCTGTAAAAGGAGATCTAACTGTCAAGAATTCAAAATTCCAGTGGTCTGTGAAGGCCCACCACCAATCCAATCTCCAGAGTTGTGTTTGAATCAGGTAAAAATGCTCATTACAGACTTAGGATTGAACATACTAATGTGAGAACATGAATGAGTTTAGAACTTTTAGAAAGTCTAATTTTAAAGGTATTTGTTTATCTTTAAAGCCCAATGAGAAAATTTTACTCTTGCTTACCTTGTCTGAGGAATAAACATGGACAGATACTGAAAAAAAGCTACAAAATTTGAGGCTTTGAAGAATGGAATTAAAAGAGAATGGGTCTTATGAAGAGTAACTCCTTTGGGCTGGAGAAGCTGAGAGGAGAAACAAATTGATTCAAGAAAAGATCTTATTATTAGAGCTGAGGTCACCTGCCATTTAGTCAAATTTACGTTTCTGCATGCCAGATCACCTTATACAGACTTGTACAGACACAGAATACAACTACCATCTCCACTGATACACAGAGGGGTGCCCTGGCCACCACTTCAGACCACCTTGCGGGGCACTCAAGATGCTCAGGACTCCGTCCA